CTCTGGGAGCTGGTAAACCATGCACATACATCATTAGATTACAAAGGTCTGAAGAGAATGGTTGTTGTTCCTCCATTCACAGGTGATGTGAAAGCACAATACAGACCCGAAAGTATAGATAAAGGCAAGGAAAAGTGTCTGTAGATAAAGGGCCTGCTATATGAGAAGAGGAGGATGCAGTGGGAAGTGACCAGGGAACCTGGCTGACACTCAACACTCAGAGAAAAAGGCAAGACAGACAATAAGACTGCTAGTGGTACCATAAGTACTGGAACTCTGCTGTGGCTGCTGAAGAAGGGGAAGAGGTGCTTATGGACATATCCTCAGTGTCGTGGTGTTGGTTCCTAACTCAACTCAACTGAAGTGAAAAACTAGTGTTATGTGTCGACTCTGGTACACTTACATTGGAATGTGGCTGGTGAGGAATTCATGCACTAGCTGACTGCCTCATAATAGTGTGATGATGATGTTCTGAGAATTCAGTCATTAAAAACAGCAAAGGATGACCACTTTAGAAAGAGTTTTACCAAAAACATACAATGATGTTACATAAAATCTAATAAAATTGGTGTATGAATGCAATCAAACAAAATCAACACAGTGAAATCCAGCACAGGCATAATAATGTGATGAACATGTTCTGTAAAATTCTCCCAATCAACAATGTTTTGTGAAACTCAGTCAATCAAATGTTATGTGAAATTCAATCAATCCCAAAAATATTAAAGGATAACTTTCACATTAATAACATTATCAAAACAAATGCTCAAGGATGTCACACTTAATAATGTCATGAGATGTTCTAATTAAATCAAAAGCCACAGACTTTTAATCACATTCATACAATGATACAATAATACACAAACTTGTTACTGCAAACTAGTCTTCATGAGCAGACTACAGTAATTATGGAGATATCCATGTGCAAAGAATGAGATCCTAAACAAACTAAACTAAAAACAACTTAGTCTGACTGACAGTGTTAATCTGACAGTGAGGGTTAGAATTCCCAAACACCCAAACCACACAAACAAGTGTGACTGGCTAACATAACCCTAACCCTGTTGCCCTGGGAAGCTCTGAACCAGACTTTTCCTTAACTGTCACAGGTGCCAAAATCAACCAGTGTCTAGTGACCTTTTCCCAAAAACCGCAGTTTAATGTGACTGATTTTATTCACCCAGTGCAGCGTTTAGGAGTAAAGTTAATACATTAGTTAAAAATAGTATTTAGCGGGGTTTTCCTGTGAACCAAATGGCTTTTACAAAGACAAGCTGGTATTTATTTTTTCTCGCAAGCCCCAGTGATAGAGGTCATGAAGTCAGATATTTTTTAGGATCCCTTGAATGTTTCAATCTGTTTGTGTTTATTGATTACTCCCTTTGTATATCTTTATAAATGTTTTAAGGATTATTTTTAGGAATTTTCATGGGGTCATGACCTAAATGTTTTCTAAGAGTGCTCCCAGGGAGAAAGGATTAATATTATCCGTTCCAAAAGGTGCAGACATGAATGAATAAATATGTCAAGAATGTGAAGGAGCCTTTTTTATGCCAGTGGCACATCTAGCATATGAGGCTGGAATATTTTTAGAAACAATCGGTACTCAATGAGTGATGCTATCATCATCATACCAGCCAAATTTACTTCCCACAAAATTACCTGCCCATTTTAGGCTAGATGACCTGGGAGCCAATGTCAATTGTAAAATAAATCCGACTCAATGTGGATTTAAACCTAAGATCTTCAGACTGGCAGGTGAGTTTCGGGTAACTACACTACTGCAGCTCTAAATAAATATGTACAATAAATTATTTGATCAGAAATACTTCTTCTTCTTCTTCTATTTCACCTTGTACCTCAGCGAAGTGTCGGGAGGAGATGTAACATTTGTTGATGAGCTCTGTCAAGGGTACTATTAGGACTGATGTTCATTTCTGTAAGGCTGTTCTTAATGCCATCACTCCATATTTTCTGAGGTTTTCCACTCGCTCTTTACCCATTGTAAGGTTTTAGTGTGGCTCTCTGTGGCAGATAGTAGCAGAGCATTCTTGTTAGGTGTCCAAACTACTTCATTTGTTGTTCTTTGATGACTTGTGAGACTGGCAGAAATACTGTAGCACATAAATGCTTCTAGAGCCATGGTCCCGAGGAAAGCTGTGTAATCACGAGATCTGGTTAACTGTGCCAATTCACTCATAAATAAAACAAATATATGCAGTCTGCAAAAATGCAGTATACAATTTTCTTCTTTCATCTTCTCTTGCCCTTTATCCCCCAGTGAGCACAGACTCTTAACCAACTGACACCAAGTCACATCCTTTGCTCTTAATAGCTCATACCATGTCCTACTGATTTTTTTTCCCCATCCTGTTTCAATCTCATTCTCGTCTTCACTCTCTAAATCCTTTCTCCATGTGTTTACAGCTTTCCTCCTATGATCCTGTGTATTTTAGAGCAAGGATATTCTAGTTACAGGACCAATATTCCTAGGATTACTTTCACCCCAAAAATGCTGCTAAAAATGGGACATGAACCCGTGAGATTTCATGGGGGAAAAAAGTATTACATGTCTCAACCGGAATAGATTTAGAATTCTCGACATGACAGGGTTAGCAGGAATATCGCAAAAGGATTTGCTAAAACCGGATGTGATGAGTCGAAAGGTGCAAATATCACAGCCTAGCTGTAAATCACAACATAATGTTGTGAGATTTCTTGGGGGGAAAAAGTATTACACGTCTCAACTGGAATAGATTTAAACTTCTCGACGTGACAGGGTTAGCAGGAATATCTCATAAGGGTTTGCTAAAATTGGATGTGATGAGTCGAAAAGTGCAAATATCACAGCCTAGCTGTAAATCACAACATAATGTGCTTAACTGCCCTGCAGAAGCTGAAGTACGTAAACATTTTTAGCAGATTATGTAGAGAAAATTCACAGAGCCTAACATACACAATTTAAAATGAATACAACTGTATGTAGAACATGAACATCTAAACACATACATTAGTAAATGCACACATATGTTTATGGCAACAACAAAAAAGAAACCCAATTTTTTTTAATGTTGAAAACAAACGATCAGCCACATGATGGTGATGAAGCTCAGCTTTGAGTGGTAATGAAGTCTGCACCACTAGCACTTTGGGATTTGATGACATGTTTGGGTTTTCCATCTCCCAGGAATGCAGTGGTTGGCACAAAGCTAAGGTCAGTGCTGGATGGCAGGAGAGAATCCAGATGTTTGATTGTGCCTCTGAGGTCTGCAGCATCTGTGCTGCTTGCTCGCCGTCCTGTTGCATGGAAGACATCATGGTGACATAATTCTACAGGCTGGCAACTGGGAAATTATATTTAGCTGTATTGTGTTTCTAGTACATGGTAGGCAAGTGTGGGACAAGAACAAGGGAGAAGCTTTTTTTTTTCCAGTGATAAATACATAACAACAACACAGACAAAGAGACAGACAGACAAGCATTCAGAAAGGCAACGGGCAGATAGATAGAAAAACAGATGTGTGCAGAAAGACAAACAAAGCACACAGGCAGACAAACAGATAAGCAAGCAGGCACATATGGGTGAGAAAAAAAATCAGCTATATCGACAGCCAATAACTTTTGTCAGAAATATCTAGACGCCAGCCAATACCAACTGTACCCCTGTAAAATTGTCCCCCCAAAAGCTGCAAAACTGACATGTCTGGTCGAATCTAGTTCCCAGAATGATTCACTTTTCTGACTTGGCTGTTCACAAGATGCCTAGCTAGTAAAACATCTTATCGCTTTTGCTGCCTGCATTCACATTTAAAAGGGCCATAAATTATTACATTTTTTAAGCATGGTTTTTCTGTGGAAAAAAAATGGCTTTATTAATAGAAATTGTGACATCATCACTTTCCCATTGGGAACAATGTTAACCTCTGACAAGGTCACGGGGTAAAAAATAAGTCGGCTATTCTCTGAATAAGGGTCCCAAATTATCGAGGCCGAAAATATACCATAACAGGGCCACAGTCACATGTCAACTGCGGACTTCCGGCGACTTAAATTGCACACTTTCGGTGACTTCGGCCACCGCTGAGAGTATCTCCCACACCGCTACGCGCGGCGTGGACTGAGGCTAAACTTGATGGCTGGGACTCACAAGCAGCTTCCTTCATTTTATTTGCTCGTGAGTCCCAGCCATCTAGTTTAGCCCCAATCCACTACGCGCGTAGCGCCGTGGGAGATACTCTAGGCGGTGGCATTATAGTCCCCAGAAATCCGCAATTCGGCGGTGGCAGTATAGTCCCCGGAAGTCCGCAATCGACATGTGGCTGAGGCCCTGTTAGGGTATATTTTCGGCCTCGATAATTTGGGACCGTTATTCGGAGGATAGCCAATAAGTCAATATAAACATTTATTTTGAGACTCAGAGACGTGACCCAGATAGTTATCTGCTGCATTTATGTTTAGTGATGACTTCCCATTTTGGTTATGGAATTTTATACTATTTTCCTCGATAAATGTAACTTTTAAGATTTGCTGGCAACCGGCGCAAAATGGTGTTGTTGATTTTTGTTTTAAAAGGATTTTTAAAACGAAAATTCCCTAATTATGGTCATTCACATTTTTTCCCATTACCCATTAGCACTCATAGGTGATGTGGTCAACATCAAGCTGGTCACTTTTACTTCCCAGAACATTTTGTTGTACCTATTTTTTAAGCATGCAGACTGTTGGGTTTTTATATCTCAGGAAGATGTACTTTGACTTCGGGAAAGATACCCCTAATAAGTCACCTTGTATGACAGGCTTGGTTTAACCGTCCCTTTTTTTTTTTTTTTCAAATCACATACACAGGTTTTTCCGGTTAACCCAGCCTAGAATGGATATCAGGAGATATCATGGTAAGTATATTTTCGCTGCATCTGTCACCACGTACTGATTGGATGCATCAATGGCCTGAGAAGGATCCTTAAAAATCAATTGCTTTAGAAGTGCAACATTGTACTTACCTACAAAGTCCAGCTGGTTAATAGTCAGGTCCCACACATGGTTCTTCTTACCTGTAGAGTTAAAGGGAAGTAGATGTAATCAGAAGACTGTTTCCACCGACACACAACATGTTCTCCACATGTACTCCAGGATCACAAAGTGATCGAGCTGCTTTCCTTGTGCTCTACAGGTCACAGGTTTCAAACTCCATTGTCTGGTTCATAAGTCTGTCTATTTTGGAGATCCCCAAGAAGCTGTCACTGCTGACATGTTTAATTTTGTGCTTTTGTGTCTAAGAATTATGTTCCTCAGTATCTAATTTTAGGGATCTTTATCAGCAACACATGTTAACTATATTTTTGACATTTCAGGTCAAATCCAACGCATTTCCATGATAAAAATGTATTGGTTTGGTGACAGCTTCTTGTTATAGTTCATTTAGTGTGGAGTTGGTAGTCATGTCCATCCCCAACCTTCTGTCTTGTGTACTTTCAACTACTTTTGACACAGATGATCTTCCATGCCATGATGTCAAACAGTCCAACATCTTCTCTCTCTATCTCCCTTTAAACCTAGTTTGAATGTACTCCATTCAAAGAATGTAGATTGTCTCCTTCTGGTCTGGGCTATCAGTTCTCTTTATGAGCCAGTTTTTTTCAAGACATCTTCATTACACTTTTTATCTGTCGTAGGTAATGAAGCTGAATATAAAGCTATGTGATTCTCATATACAATCATCATCATCACCATCATCATCATCATGTTCCCAGCCAGAGAGCACAGGCTGTCATGTTTCACCATCTGACACAATCACCAGTACCACAAACCAGTTCAATGTTCTAATCTTGCCCCCATCCACATGGCCAGGCCAGTTTATATCTTTCTGCCACATCCTTTGTCTTTCCATGTAAAATACTAATGCCTTAAATTGCAAATTAATATTAAAGCCCTGAGAAGATTACCTTAACAAAATGGCTCAATTGTATTATGTGCAACAGCTAGATATTATTATACAAGTACCTACAAAAACAAAGCATCAGAAAGTACATTATTAAAAAAAACACTAAATATTCAATAAGTAAAGACAATAATAATAAAGGAAATGTAAATAATGTATTTACCTAAGCAAATCTGGCCAGATGTCACTCCTTTAGCTGCAAGGTAAAAAAAAAAAAACAAATTATATTATTAAGTGAAGTGACTTGAAAAACAACATATACTGTTTAAAAAAAAAATAAAGAAAAGAAACGTAGTTATCCTATGACTCATTAAATTACAAATCACAAATAAATTAAAAACATTTTGAATGTCAAAATTACATTCCTTTCAGTAGTTATGTGTTTCTTTTATTGAGTAGGAAAGCACTATCAGATAACTACGTGTTTCTCTTCTTGAACAGTGTATTTATTCTTCGGTAGATTCTGTCAAATATTTTGGCAGAGCCACAGCCTGTCAGCTTACTTTTTGCAATTTCCAGATGCTGTGTGATTTACACACAAGATCTTTTATAGTCCTTGTCCAAAAAGTTTAAGTATCCATGTCAGAACCCAAGAGATCAAGGAGAAATGTGATAATAAAAACAAATGCCTCTTGAACAAATCCCTAGCCATTGGCTAGATGTGAATCCAGCAGCCCAGCTCTGCTGCACTCTAGCACTAGATGACCCTGTAGTTTTATACTCTATTCAGTCATCATCTCTATTCATCAGCTCACTAGAATGGGCTGGTTTTTTTTAGGGGGGGGGGGGGGAGAGGAGGAGGAGATGGGGGGGGGGGGGGGGGCAGAGATATGACGATGCATCACAGGCTTTTGATATTCACTGTAGAAGTAACTGACAGAATATTTACATCTAACAGTGTCGGCGAACATTTTATTTCTTGGTGTCTGTAAACATTTTACTTCTTGATGACGGTGAAAATTTTATTTCTTGGTGTCTGTAAACATTTTATTTCTTGGTGTCGATTAAACATTTTATTTCTTAGTTCTGTGAACATTTTATTCCTTGATGTCTGTAAACATTTTACTTCTTGATGACGGTAAACATTTTATTTTTTGGTATCTGTAAACATTTTACTTCTTGCTGACGGTGAAAATTTTACTTCTTGATGTTGGCGCTTTATACTTCTTGATGCCAGTAAACATTTCACTTCTGGATGTTGGGGAACATTATACTTCTTGATGCCAGTAAACATTTCACTTCTGGATGTTGGGGAACATTATACTTCTTGATGCCAGTAAACATTTCACTTCTGGATGTTGGGGAACATTATACTTCTTGATGTCAGTAAACATTTCACTTCTGGATGTTGGGGAACATTATACTTCTTGATGCCAGTAAACATTTCACTTCTGGATGTTGGGGAACATTATACTTCTTGATGCCAGTAAACATTTCACTTCTGGATGTTGGGGAACATTATACTTCTTGATGTCAGTAAACATTTCACTTCTGGATGTTGGGGAACATTATACTTCTTGATGCCAGTAAACATTATACTTCTTGATGCCAGGGGAACATTATACTTCTTGATGCCAGTAAACATTTCACTTCTGGATGTTGGGGAACATTATACTTCTTGATGCCAGTAAACATTTCACTTCTGGATGTTGGGGAACATTATACTTCTTGATGCCAGTAAACATTTCACTTCTGGATGTTGGGGAACATTATACTTCTTGATGTTGGCGCTTTATACTTCTTGATGTCAGTGAACAGTTTCTTCTTGATGCCAGTAAACAATTTATACTTCTTGCCTGATGCACCTTGCCTTTGCATAATTTACACTATGGTCTTGGTTTGCCATTCCTCTTATAACTGGGACGTAAACTGATTGAAGCCGGAACCAACACATTAGCAGGCAGGTGTATTAGCATTTTACCATGAGAACTCGCATGTGATTGCAAGACTTCTATTTTATTTTATTTTTTAAAGCTAGAAAAGATAACACACCATCAGAGATTTCCTACATGCCCGTGATTCAATCCACATACCTGTCCCAGCAAAAGTGACCTTGTTACTGACAGACCCATCTGCAGACTGATAGATGATCATGTCCTTCTTTTTCACTTCTTCCTCAGGTATGATCACAACACTCTGGTCAGGACCTCCATTGTTGGGCTAGAAAATAATGCACATATTTATTAACAGTCAAAAAAACCAACCAAACCACAAACTCAAAAGGCATCAATCAAATAAACAAATATTGTTCAAAAACTTCATTGTGTAGGTGTGGGGCCCCATTGTGGGAGAAAGAAGAAAGACCCACTGTACTGCCCATCAAGCTATGAATTGCAAACTGTTCCTTCCTATGGCAAAAGTGGAAACTGATGAGATGGTGGTGGGGGTGGTGACTGTGATGAATGGAACAGTCAGTGGGGCAAGCATGATTAGTCAATGTTTCAATAAAAATAACAATGATACAATTAGAAAAAACAGAAACATCTTCTTCAATGTATAAATGCTTGCAATCTTCAAATGTACGTGTTTGTTTCAACAGATGTAAACTGTCTTTTCTTGTTCATGAATTGGTATAATTATGTCTGTAGTTATGAAACTACTTTCTCGAATTATTCATAAGAAGAATTCATACACCTGATAGAACTGTTCCTGACTGAACTGCTCCTCAAATTCTGCAGTGGCCTAATGGGTGGATTAGGCTGACGAGCTGTCAAGAACTGACAAAACAGCACTCAGGATGTTCCCATATTTTCTCCATTATATTAAGCAACGTCCATTTCCATTGCAACAAACCATGTGTTTTTCATCTCTCAACAACACAGATCCAATTGTATAGATCAGGGATATTCAACTGGTGGCCCACAGGCCAGATTTGGCCCGCTGAAGCCTAAGAAGTGGCCCACAGATCATTGCAGTTGTATTGTATTAATCATCTTTCTATGCAGGAGCTCGGGTCTCTGGCACATGATGATGCTGATTTTCACAATGTTGGCCCTTGAGTAAACTTAGCTGAATAGCCCTGGTGTAGATAATCACATTACCTGGGTGGGAACTGTCAGGAATCAGCTGTTGAATTTCTGATTCTGCAACATCTTAGAACACTCCTTCTTTTCCTCAAGCTTTAAAAAATAACCAGGTGTGCAAGACCAAAACCACAACTTCACGTCTGCAGTGAGTAATATTAATATGTAACTGGTTAGGATTCAACACAATAAATCTAGAAAGGCTAGGATCAGGCCTAAGTTGGTTATGTTATCTCTACAGGTTCTAGGTATTTTATTGTAAGCTGACTTCAACCAAGTACCAAGAGGGAGAAGTTAAAATGGTGATACAATCAATGCTTAATGTAGCAGGAATATCCCCCAGCACATGATAGGAGCATTCAGCTTTGAATTATTATGTGTAGCATATAAATATAGACATATTAAGATTTTTACCATCTTACTAACTCTGCACTATTAGTGCCAAATATGGACATTGCATATAGTAAACAGATGAAAACTGGTCACTATAGAAATGAAATGTTTACATATCATGCTAGGTGTAATAGGGAAAGATCATCTGGGAATGATGAGAAAGAGAGTCGGCACAGAAGCAATACTGAACTTTATCGGCAGACAACAAATCATTAGGTTTGCCATGTAACAGGACTGGCAGCAGACAAGGCGCCACAAAGAAACAATGTTATACAGATACAGCAGTAACAGATCCAGAAATGTACTACAGAAAGGGCCCGTTCTTCCTGCCCTTAAGCTGCGAGGCATTACAGCAGTAGAGAAAAGAAGAAGAGGAAGGACTAATAGTGCCAAAGATGTGGTGTTTGTTAGCACTTACAAGTGGGACTTTCTCCGGTAGTTGACCACTAGCAGGCATGACTGATGGCACATCAGACATCACGAAACCACGTTGGTCTATCATGCTGCAAATAGAAAATATATAAATATTTAATTATGTACCTCAGGATATTTATATGATTACAGGGCTTAAGCCTAAAGAAACCTAGGTTGCTTTTCTGCAGCTGTGTATGTTTAACTGCTGAAGCTAGTTTTTCTTTCTTCTTCTTCTTCCTTTTTTTTCATTCACATAAAACAGAATTCTGCAATGTCTTTTGTAATAATGTTATTGTTTTGATTTTGTTTTAATTAATGGTCCATGAAGATTAGTTTTTAGTGCTGTTTATTCAAAGTGACAAGAAGGATGTTGCTAGGTGAAAGGGTTAATTCTTTCTGTCCCATGGTGAAATATTAACCTTTCAGACAGGCTCAAACATTTATTATTTGAAGCAATAATTCCTAAAGACAGATCAAAATTAAAATAGCATCTGCTTCTGAAATGAAAGAAATAGTTAAGGCTGCAATTAGTGATAGGGTAAACTAAGCATAAAATCATAGGCAATTGTCATCAATGACAAAATCAGACTCACCTGGGAGGAGTTGGTCCACACAAAACGCTGACACAGTTTTTAATTAATGATCCTTTACTAAATGGGTTAAAGTTGTCCTGGCCACGCTTGGATGTGAATGTGCCTTTGATCTAAGACATCAAAGAAACAGAACTGTTAGTCAGATTACCCTACCAATCTTCAACACTGCAGTGTTATTTTTATTTGTTCAGACCTCTTGAGAAAAATCTTTTAAAGGACAATGATTTCACACAGATGCAGATGTAATGAACAAGGTAAATATTTTATTTAGTCAGCAACCAAAACCCTGTTTGAGGACTACATTCTTTGCCTACTTAAGCAATGGAATGCTCAAGGCCATGGTGACTTTTTCTGACTAAATCATGGTGCATAAAGCATTCAAAATGAATGCTTTGTTTAATTCTGCCACACTTGATGTTTTTTTGTTACTTTTGTAATAAGCCATTTGAATGGGTTTCAAATAAACACTCCCTGTAATTATTACTGCACACTTAAGCAACGTACACGTCCAATGAGGCCCTCGTCCATCACCTAGAAAATGATAAGAGGACTGAAAACCCAACCCGAATGTTTAATTTGTGTCTTTGTGATGGCACCCCTGTTTATACCCAAATGCCAGGCCTATGTTAGACTTTTTCAACATTTTTCAATACATTAGTGAAACTACCCTATTAAGAGGTCAAGTGTGCCAAATTAAAGAAGCCAAACAGTAAAAACTAGAGAACATTAATTAATAAGCAAAACTAAATATACAATTTAAATAATGAGGCCAAAACACCATATTGCACAATTTTCTGCTTTGACATTTTTTGGCTGAATATTTTCAGGTTCACTGCTAGTTTACATCAACATATAATGAAGCACAAAACAAAAATCCCTGTATATGAAATACAGAAATCAAATTACCTCTTGCATACTGTACATCTCACCAAGAAATTCTAAGACTGATGCAGGATTTACCTTTTTAACTGCCAAGGTTTCCCACCAGTTTTAATAAATGCCTATCCAGTGTTTGATTTTGTTTTTTTAAACTTAAAAAAAAAATTCAAAACAATGTTTTCCCGTAATGAATTTAAATAATGCGAATACAAACAATACATTGCACAATTTATTGCCAGGCATATTTCCCTGTATCTCATCAGGTGCGTTACTACAGAGTAACTTCAACATAAAATAAAGCACAAAACTGAATAAATTCAACTGAAATGCGAATAGTTTCTTCAAAACATTGTCTCTCTTTCAAGGCTGCCGGAAGCTCACCATAGTCACTGACTACCAGGGTAACTTCAAATGTAGGACAAATTTCGTCTGCTTACAAAGGAGAGGGTTTTTGATTTTTATTGTTATGGCTTCTGCGATTCTCAAAAGTCTCCTGTTCGGAGTATGGTAAACCACACGGAAAGCAGTGTCTGTGTCAATTATGTGTTTGGAATTCAGTTATGCCGTCCTATGAAAGAAGCGGGTTCTTTCCTCTTGACTGGTCTCGACACCATAGAAGAATCACTCAGCTGTGTATGTAGCCATTTGGGTATGTGCTCTGCCACTCTATTTCCAAGCTGTCTCTCTGTTCGACTGATGTAAGTTAACTGGCACTTACATGTAAATTGGTAAATACAATTAGATTTGGTGTACAGAGAAAGGAGCTGTTTAATAGGTGGGGTTGGGATAGGAGTGGTCTTGTACCTCACTACTGGGACAGCCGCAAAAAATGTTTGGCCAACTGCTGTTTTCAGTCGGCCCTGCAGACGCTGCATGATGTCATCACCTCGATAAGTAAGCTGGACATATACTCGTAGTTTGGATACTGTAATTTCGTTTGGGGGAAGGGTTGGGTGGGGTGCAATGACGTTTGATGAAACCTATGGGGTACCCATTCAGTAGTAAAGTTGAATTGAGAGTTTTAATTTCTGCAGCCAGTGTGTCTTCGGTGCAAATCTTTCTGGCCCGGTTGAACAAGCTTCTCACTACGCCATGTTTGTAGTGAATAGGTACGAAACTGTAAAAGTTTAGATACTGGCCGGTCCATGTTTCTTTTTGGTACACTGATCTTTGGATACTGCCATCCTCTCTACGTGCAATAAGTACATTCAAGAAATAGTAAAGTGCCGTCATGTTCATGTTGTGACGATAATGTGATGTTTCTGTGTGACTGGTTCATATGGTGGTATGGAACGCAGTAGCTTGCTGTTTGTCAGCAGTATTATTAGAATGTCACCCACATACCGACGGTACCAAAAAAATGATGACCAGCACAATTAAGACATTTTACAGATTACTTACATCTTCATTTGTGGTCTGCTCTGTTGTGGCCAGATATGTGTGGAAGCCAGCAAGTCCAATGACAGACCAAACGGAGAAAAAACAGATGAGGGTTTCCACTATAGTGAAGCAAGTCAAGGAAAGTTTGCCATTTCTTTTTTTTTCACTAAAGGATTAAACAAGTAAAACGTACAAAACCAACATATGTTAGTGGTGTCCATATGGTAAGGTGTCCGGTTGTCTGCCTCAGGTCTCAAATGTTACAGCTCATTTTGGGTCTGTGTTGTTCAGTTTATGAATGTAAATTTATTTAAATCTTTGGGGAACATCACTGGAGTTACGGTGATCAGGCTCAGTTTGATAATGTTGGCGAGCGGAAGCCTCTTTGAAAACAGAGACTGAGCCATCTGGGATAAAACCTGGTGGAATGAGGTCGATCATATTATCTTTAAACTACCATCTGTCATGAAAAACAACAATGAATAGCCAAAAGTACCCTGAGCTACTCATTGTAAGAGATACACACATGGACAGACATCCTCACACCATATTCATGTATGGTGGTGCCCCATGCCACAGAGTAAAAATAGCACACGAGTACCTTCAAAAGAACAATGCAAAAATGGCCAGCCAGTAAATAGCCTGGACTTAAACCCTATTGAGAATGTGTGGGCCCATATAAAAAATGTATGTTTGTCAACAAACTACCATCCAGTGCCACAATGCTTATGGAAGCTAAAAGAACTTTTGGATGTCAGGAGATTTTTATGAAGAACGCATTTTAAAAATGCATTGAGTCATCCATGTGGTCATCAATGCAACAGATGGACATTCAAAGGACAAAAAAAATTAAACAAATTGTGGCAGACAAACCACATTAAAAAAAATTTAACTTACAACTGAGTACTGTGCTGCTATTATTTCTTTCTGTATGGTATTTATGGATTTTTTGCCAAAATTCTGTAGTGGTTGTAAATTTCTGGCTACGGCTGTAGTAAAAGATTATCCTTTTAGGCCAGAAAGAGTTAAAAAGCGCAGGCAACTGACAAGTGCATTGAAAGTGTTTTGGGTATGTACAATGGCATCAAGTACTAAGAACAACGTTTTCTGACTCTGACAAGTGCAGGCTGAGAAGATAACCAAACAAATATAATGGGTAGGGATTAATTTTGTGAAGGAAAAAACATTAGTTTGCAGGCAAGGTAGTATGAGCAAAAGCTGGTCAACTTAACTCATACCTATAGCTCACAGAATAATTTTCCTACTACGGTTACCTCTAGACACTATGTTGGTTACGGCAGATACAATTAGGAAGTCAATGACTGCACAAACATCCTTACAGTCAATATGCTGCAAATACATATATTTATTGTTCTACAGAACAAGTCCTGCAGCATGCTACACTACTTATAATCTTTTACTACCCTAAACATGGCATTTATCTGTACTATACTTTCACATTCTGAAACACACTGATTATATCCATCATCTCCCATATGTTGTTGTTAGAGTATGCAGGCCAACACAGGGGTGATTAAAAGACACCCGACATTAAAACAACAGAAGTCAATGTATTCCACCCACATAAAAGTACAATTCTACTGCAGCAACAACAAAAAATTTTAAAAATCTCTCTGTTTCAAAGGGGGTAAATATCAGCTGATGTCTATGTTTCACCTGTTAAACTTTCAATCAAAAATCGCCTTCACTAGCTTGGCTTGGATATTAACTCTTTCGGTTAGTAAAAAGTACAGGAGCCTTTTTTTTTTCATTAATGCCAGTGAACACCAGGCATATGATGTTAGACTCTATTTTGATAGACTAATCAGCACTCACGGATTGGAAAAAATTATAGCAGAAGGCATGGTACAAGGAAGGAGGGGCAGGGACCGACTAACACGAAGATGGGCACAGGATATAAGTGACTACCTGAGTGTGAAAGTGCATGAGGCGGGAGAGCTGGTGAGAGACCAGTTTCTCAGACAGACCGTGATGAGAGCAACGTTCTGCAAAGGACCTGCTACATGATGATGATGAATCAGCACTCAACAGACGATATGGGCAACATTATGCTGACTGCCTTTGCTTCCCGGTCATTACTAAGTACCCATTTTAGGCTGGGTCAACCTGAGACCCACGGTTTCTTTTGAAACAAATCAGATTCTATGGGGATTCGAACCCAAGATTACTGAGCCAGCAGGTGAGTATTTAATCAGAATTTAAGCGCAAAGGAAATATAAAAAAGAATATGTATCTAATGGTAATGTCTGTGAATCAATACACGTACATTTAAGTAACATATATAACCTGCAGCAGAGTATACACAAAATTATCCTCACACACCCACCCAGCCACATATGATAGCAGGTTACCTCCCCATATAACTGATTTATATGACTGAACAGTGTTTCCGTGATTTGGTTCTCTTGGATTGAATCCAGTTAGTGACTTCTCTATCAGTCAATGGCTGTCACTCTTTCAAGCTGCAATCCTGGTCAACATTATAAATTCTAGTCAAAATCTACACTGCCACATTTGTCAGTACGGTTATGACCCCTTTGGGCATCTCCTAGTAAACTTTTTGAACTGTAGGGCTATCAGGGGTGGTATGGAACCATATCACATGTTGGACACGTTTTACAGAGCTCAAAGAATTATCAAGCTCAGAGATTCAGTTCACTATAAAAGGATATCTCGCTGGAGAATCTTTTACTGCAGTCAAAAAGTTATCCTCTCTTGCTCCTGCAAACAGACAAAGGACAACAAGAGTAATTAAAAAGTTGTTTAAATACATGTACATGCAACCATTAAAGCTAAACTTACATTGCTGGCCCCTTTCCAGACCATAGTGTTATACTGTGTAATAGGAGGCATTCTGTTTCCATATCTCAACGCCTGGACAATACTGTAGAAACCATGTATTGCCACACAAGTATGATCCCCCTCTCAGTCCGCCTTGTTTACTCTAAAAGAAATATTGATGACCTGGTTTTATTGTGACTGCATTCTCTTTGAGACAAGGAACCCTCTTGTTTTGCCTCCCATCTCCCCCCCCCCCCCCCCCCCCGCCCCCACCACACTTCTCTATCAAACCAGCATGCAACCGCACAATATGCGCAGGGAAATATGTTTCACCTTATGTGTCACAAAGAAAATGGGGTCAGTATATTGTGCTGGAAACCCGCGGCTCAAATTAAGAAAGATGGTTTGTAACTTAGAAACTGACAGAACAAAGAGCTGATTGGAACATATCATTAAACATTGCAATAGGTGGGTGAAGATGACAACAGTGAAAGGAAATGTAGATACATAAAGCTACAAACGAGTAAAATGGGAGGAGCTGGAAGCTTGCCTTTGAAAAAAAAGTGAAAACGTGTATAGTATTTAGCACACACAAAAACAATTAAAATACAAGAAAATAAGGCGCGATAAACTATACAGACAGTAAGGAGGACGGAAGGAAGGAGGGTAGGTCGTCATGCAGAGAGTAAGAAAAACGGACAGAGGGGGTAGAGGCGGGGCAGAAAATAAATAAGGTAGACAGACAAGAAGGGGAAGAAAACCAAGGAAGACGCACAGGCAGACAGACCAGCAAACTGTGAGTAAGGAAAAAGGAAAGACAAAAGGGTGGGAAGAAATTAACTATATGTAGACAGACATAACGAAGGACCCCCAAAAAAAAAGTATTCAACGGAACATATATCGAAACTAGATAGGAGGGGAATAAATAAAGCGCTGACAAGATTACTAATAATCGACACACGCAAAAAACTATGACAAATAAAAAGAAAGGAAGATATACGAGGCCAGACATTCACGAGAGACAGCTGGGGGATTAAAAATAAAATAAATCAGCTTAGAAAGTTGGAAAAGGTTGGAATTTTTTAGAAGAAAGAAATCTATTTATTTTCGGTTGACTCCGGGGCTGAAATGTCATCTAGGAGGGAACTGACATAGTGGTCTGTGTCCCGGTGCTTGTTTATCTGTCTGTTTCTCTCAACAGCCTCGGGTTTGGCACGTTTCTTAGCTACTACAGCCAGTGGTGTCATTGAGATACATTAGCAGTTTGTGGCTACAACTTCTTCGACCATTTCCTAAACACTGAAAATTATCTCATGAGAACAAAAATACAGAACATTCAGAGTCGCATACATTGTGCTTTTCTCCCCCCCCCCCCCAACCCCCCCCCTTTTTTTTTTCCGACCTTTTTTTTTTCTCTCCACATGACAGAAACCCTCCTGTGGGTTCGAGACCTGGTGATGGGTAGACCATCTAACCCTCAATAAGCATTTCGCAAAATGCGACTAATTAGGCGTTTGCTGGAATCGGATGTGTTGAGCCAAAGGCTCCTAGCAGAAACCACAAAACAACGTATCAACAGCCCTTTTAAGGGCGAGGATAAGGACGAAAAAGAAGGGCGGGGAGGAGGAGAAACTGATTGAGAGATGCGGAGGCAGGGAAATGTCGTGTGCGGATATGCACTAAAACAAACCAATACTGACTGAGCAAATCATCATCATGATCAGGTGGCTTGCCGACTGGCGTGGGCGATCATGCCTCTCTACAATCTGCGATCTTCTGCAGCATGTATCAGGTCGTGTGCCCACACACCTCCATGCCATGCAACAAGACTGTCAAGAATCTTCTCTCGTTGTCTTCCTCTATCCCTCCTTCTACAGATCTTTCCAGTGGTCACAACATGTTCTATTTGCCCTTTTCGCATAACATGGCGAAAAATGATGACTGTCTTATTCTGATGTCTGTGGTAAATTGTCTTCGGGCTCCAGCCTCTTTCAAAACCTCTTTGTTGCTCTTTTTTTTTTTTTTCGACATAGCAAATAGAACGTCAAAACATTACGTAGTGTTGTTAGAAAATTGGAATCTAGGGGGATTCGCAGTCGAAAGGGCGAGGATAAGGACGAAAAAAAAAGGACGGGAAATGGGGGGTGAGGGGGAGAAGAAACTGATTGAGAGATGCGGAGGTAGGGGGAAAGAGATGCAAAGAAATGACAGGGAAGGGGGACACTGCACAGATCTCTATATTAGCTGGTTCTGCCCATGAATGGAAGCATCAACATGTATAGCATGCACGAAGTGGTTAAGCTGTTTTTCTCGGCAG